TTCTGGGGGCTGGAATGTGGCCTGGGGATGGGGGCTGCCTAGCACTGCAGAAGGAAAGCCCTGCATAAACTGGGCCTGAGGGTGTGTCTTGGGTTTCCACTGCTGTGACCAAAGTGAACTCACACTTTCGGGGAGCACTCCATCACTGAAGGGAGCCAGGGCAGAACCCAAGGCAGGGCCGATGCCAAGGCCGAGGAGGAGAGCTGTGTCCTGGCTGCTCCCATGGTTTGCTCAGTCTGCTTTCTACACACCCAGGACCACCCGCCCAGAGGTGGCTCTGCCCACAGTGGGAGGGGCCCTCCCGAGGGGCCCTCCCACGCCCTCCCACATCAATCAAGAAAATGCCCTATAAACTTGCCCCTGGACCAGTCTGATGGAGGCATTTCCTCAGCTGAGGGTCCTCTTGCCAGACAACTAACTTGTGTCAAGTTAGGGGAAAAAAATGAATAAGTAAAAATAAAAAACCCAGGACTTAGTGATGCCTGTCAGTCCAGCACTGGGGAGGCAGAGGGAAGAGGGTCAGTCTTCATCTACATAGAGTCTGAGGTTGGCCTGAACCATTGGAGACCTTGTTGAAGGGGAGGAGGGAGAGAGAGAGGGAGGGAGGGAGAGAAAGAAAGACAGTTCCAAACACTTAGCAGCCTGTGGAGAAGCATAAGGCAGAGCCAAGCAAGAGGCTGGGAGGGAGGGCAGGAGAGAGGCTGGGAGGGAGGGCAGGGGAGAGGCTGTGCCCAGGATGAGCTCAGAACTAACCCAAGCCGCTGCTCACAAGAAGGAAGGGCCCAGTGCCCATAAGTCCCAGCTTTGGGCCTGGAGGCCGTGTCATGCCTTCCGGGGACACAAATGGCAACGAAGGTTGGGGACTCTCAAAGCTTCTCTCATCCACGACCTGAGACATGGTGAAAACACATGTTTCTTCCACAGGAAATCTGGTCTCAGCTCTGCCACAAAACTTCCAGGAGCCCTGGGCAGAGGCTGAGGGCTGCGCCTTGGCCCTGCTCAACAGCCACAAGCCATGAGGCCACTCACAGCCCCACGTGCCATGGCAGTAGCCTCAAGGCCAGGCTGGGGCACTAGGCCCACCTGGAGCTCTGTCACTACCCATGGTGACACGGCTGCTTCAGCCCCGAGCTCGAGGCCCTCACAGGAAAAAACAAGAAGCCCAGCAGATGGTGGGAACTCTCCGGGATCAGCCTCAAAGGTCACCGTCTGTTGCAGCCTGCCTGCTCCCGGAGGCGCTTGGGCATTGAAGCAGTGTCTCCCGCTGACTTGAGGCCCAGCTCCAAGCTAGGTGTGACATTTCCCGTGGGCTGACTGTGTGCCAGGCCCTGTGCTGACCTTGCTCACACCTCACCTCCTAATTCCATCCACTTGGCTGAGGGGGTCGGGGCAGTTGTCTAGGCACTTTGTAAAGGAAGGGCAGGCTAAGGCCAACCAGCATGCCCAAGTGGTCAGCCCGGCCGGCCCCTCCTCCAGACCTCAACACTCTCCTATGAGAGGATCAGCTCCTCTGAGTTCTCTCCAGGGCACAGGTTGGAGCCTGCACTCTGCTCTGGCCTCCTTCAACAGTGTCTGTCCTCAGAAGATCCTACTGGCTCAGTCAAACTCTGGTGTCAATGGCTGCTTCAGTAAGTGGGGAGGTAATGACTCCGGAGGAACGAGGATTAATGCTAAGGCTTGACCTTGCTTAAGGCTGTCACCATTACATGGTGTCCACAGCCTCTGCCACGTCCTCCTCAGGGGCCTCGGCAAGGTGTCCAAGGGAGAACAGGCCAAACCAAGGCCGACTGAGCAGGATGTAAATGGTTGCTAGGCCTGTGGATCCCCAGAGTCAGGCATCTGCTCCCCAAAGATGGCCAGGCCCCCATCCCACTTCACACCCGTTTGTGTGAGCAAGCCGTCTAGAGGAAGACAGAGATCTGCCCCTGACATCCCATAGCCCCCTCCAGGCACGCTGGCCCCTGGAACTCCGTTCAGAGGGGAGGAAAGCTTTGATCACAGCAACAGAGCCCAGGTCCCCCTGCATCTGGTGGGGAGGCAGAGTCAGACAATGACACCCCCATACACACACAGGGGAACAGATACCCACATGCCCCAGAGCTGGAGGGCCAGCTGGGGCAGTCTGAGCTTGCCCTGCCCACCCGCCCCAAGCTAACCTCCTTGCCTCTGCAAATGGCTTCTGAGTTCCTGGGCCAGCCTCTCAGCTCTGTCAGATTCATTAGCGAAGAAGTCGCTTGTCCCAGCTTGGACCACTGACATCACTAAAAGGGACCCAGGGAACACTGACCACAACCCCTTGCTGCTCCCCTCCCCCACTTCCTCTCTTTCCAGACCAGCAATCAATGCAGCCTGCCCACCTCACAAGGCAGGCGCAGGCCTGGCAGCCAGGCCTCTTCACACCTGACCAGGAACCAAGGTGGCCTGAGCCCTGGCCCCTGTCACACCAACTGTGCCATCCTTGGGCAGAACAGCACAGAAATACCAGCCACCCCCACCTCGGGGAGCCTTGAGCACCTTGTCCCCCAGATATATGTGGTCCTGTGAATGTACTTTGAAGTCTAGCACCCAGATAGACTGTTCTATGGGCTCAGCACACAAAAAGTCGGGAGGCCCTTCTCTCTTGAGCACCAGAAGAGTCTCAGGGTTCCACGCAAGGCTCACTTGCATAGAGTGGGGGCTGGGCCAACATCACTGGGAGCACAGTTGGGTGGCCCAGGCTGCCTCCCTCCCAGGCCTGGCAGGGCCTGAATGACTCAGCTGTCCCAGCCATCAGTGGAACAGGCCTGGGACAACCAGCCCCAGTTTTCCCATTGTCCCCTCTTCTCCCTGAGGCTGGAGGCCTGGGAAGACCCAACCAGGCTGTTCACTCCAACGCAGTACTCTGAGAACCCATGATCAGGATCATGAGGTCCCTAGGGACTCCCTGAAATGTCCCCTGCAGGGACATCGACTCCTTAGAGGTTCCTGCTGTTCCTACACCAGATCAAGTAAAAAGACCCAGGAAAAGGCCATCCTGAGAGCACAGCAGGTGCATACGTGTGTGCACAACACACACTTATGATGGCTGCAGAGGGAGGCAGAGCATGCAGTCTGTAGTGGGGTATCTGAGACCAGTCATGGCTCAATTCTACCCACCAAAAGGGAACTTCCTCTCTCTTCTCCCCTCCTGGAGTACACACAGCACACCATCCCCAGTACTGACGTCTCCTCAGCATTAGACAGATGAGATCCGGGTGAGAGGCACTGGCTTCCTCTCCCCCCACCCTAAGTGGCTGAAACAGCCTTTCCCAGGCCTCAGCAAGCTCTGGAGACCAGGGCAAAGGGACCCAGATGTCAGAGAGGACCAGTGGCCTCTTCTCGTCTCTTCCTTCCCCCTCCCCCTCTCTCCCACCACTCGCACCACAGACCGAGCAAAGGAGGCATGCTCGGGGGTGGGGGGCTGGTGCATAATTATTGGTAAAATGCTCGTAACATTCTCCCTCTCCCCAGTAGCTTTCAGTTGTTTTAGCAGCTTAGCAAGCACTTGGCTCCAATTGAATTGCAAATCAGCAGCTCTTGCCCCGGGAAGAGAAGGAGGGAGGTGGTGGAGGGGGCAGGGAGGGGCTGGGAGGAAGATGAGAAGAACCGTAAAAGAGGAGGGCAGAGGGCAGAGGGGAGGATGGGAGGGAGGCCAAGGTTAGGTTCAGGTAACTAGGCTAAGGTTGACTAGGCCCGCTTCCCCTTCCTCGCTTCATTTCCCCCACCCACCCACAACCCCACCCCCAACGGAAAACCAGGACACTCTTCTCTAGCTGGAACTGAAGGGCGGGCTGGGAGGGCCACCAGGGGCTTCCTCAACTAACCAGAAGAAAACAAATCTTTCTCGGGAATTGCAATTATTTGGAAACAATGTCAAAACAGAAGTCTTGCTTTATTCCCCTGGCAATCTGCAACATTGTGGTTTCCATCCTACATTCTGTCTGTCTGCCCTTCCATCGATCCCCTGTCCTCCATTTGTCTGTCTGCCTCTCTGGTGTCCTTCGCACTTCCAGCCCCACTCCAGATTCAGGGGCTAAAGGTTCAGAGCCCGAGCTGGTGCAGCTTCAGAACCATGGCCAGCGCCGAGCCCCATCCCTCAGCCCCACCCTCACGCCACAGCACGCAAGCTTCAGACACAGGATCAGGCTCCAGAGCCAAGAGGGCTGCCTCCATTCTCAGGTATAGGAGAAGGAAGGAGTCGTGGGCCAGGCACCCTGGGCCGTGGAGGACACTAACCTTGAAAAGGCGGAGGATGTTGGCCACCATGATTGAGACTGAGCTCCCTGAAGCCCCAATGACGCCCACCACGCGCTCAGGCTTGGTGATGATGGGCGGGCCGCCGCTGCCACAGCGGACCTCGGTGCCGTCCTTCTCGATGAGCGCCTGCACGAAGGTCAGTGACTGCTCGAGAGCGTGGGTGTCCCTGGAGCAGGTGTCCAGAATGCGGGCGCCCAGCGTGATGTTGGGCAGCAGGTCCGGGTCATTGTTGATGCGGTCCAGAGCGAAGAGCATGGCCTCCAGCCGGTGAATGCCCTTCTCCTTCTTCAGTTCCCCACAGGCTTTACCCTCAGAGCCTCGGCCGTGGACAGGAAACAAGCCTCCCAGCGTGATGTCCCCGTCAATGCGGATAGAATTCATGTGGGGGTGGCCCTTGGGCTTCCCTAGGGATGAAGGCACCCAGGAGCCATAAAGGCTAAGGAGCAGGCAGAGGGGCAGCCGGGCCCACCACCAGCCCCAGCCTCCCTTCCCAGACATGTCGAGAAGGCCTAGAGACCCATGAAGAGTGGGCCCCACTCCTAGCCCTGGCAGGCCCTGGGTCCCACGACCTGGGTGCGCATGAGCAGGGCAGCTTCAGCAGCAGGGGGGCTGGAGATGGCCAATGGACTGGCCCATCCCAAAGACCTGCCCTCCTCCTCTTTGATACTTGAATGGAGCTCAGTGGCCCACACAGGCCAAATCCCCAGACGACAGAAAGTGGCCGGAGCTACAGGAGATCTCAGATCCTTGTCCCCATGTCCTGCAAGCCAGATTGCCGCGTCTGGCTGTGGAAAGGGAAGTGAGCTCCTATCCTGGCAGGATCTTAGCATCAAGGAGAAAACAGCTCCGACCAGTGCCGCCAACCTGGGAAGAGAGAGAGACTATCAACCCAGACCGAGGAAGGAAGACATTTACTATTCTGATTCCTCATCAGGATCCTGGGAGAGGGAGCCCAGAGGTTATCGCCAAAGACGCCATAAATCTCCACTTGATTTTCATTGCTGCGGCCCAGCTCCTGAGGAAATGCAGAGCTGGAAGCCAAAACTGGGTCATGTTTAAAGACCTTCGCTGGCCAGGACCCATTGCCCTCAGAGGCCAGGCCTCTGAGAAAGTACTCCTAGGGACAGCAAGCATGGCTGGGGAGGAATAGGTTCCTCAGCATGCCCTGGGAAGCTATAGCAAGATACCTATTCTGTCAATTCAACCTCATGACAGGAATGAGGAAACTGGCCAGGCAGTGGTGGTGCACGCCTTTAATCCAAGTACTCTGGAGGCAAAGGCAGGTTAATCTCTGTGAGTTCAAAGCCAGTCTGGTCTACAGAACGAGTTCCATTCCAGGACTGCCTACAAAGCTACAAAGAGAAACTCTGTCTCAAAAAGAAGGAAGAGGAGGAGGAGGAAAGAAAGAGAGACAGAGAGACAGAAAGAAAAAGAGAAAGAAAGAAAGAAAGAAAGAAAGAAAGAAAGAAATTGAGGTCTGATAGAAGTCTGTGCCAAATCCCACAGATCTTTCTCACCTTAGCCCTAAATAAGAAACATGGCAGTTTTGAGGGGACCCAGAGTCCTGGAAGGAAAAGCCAAGACCCCGGGAGGATAGTGGTCTGTCCAAGAAGGCTAGAGTGCTGTCCGGGCCCAGGCCAGGAGCTGCAACTCCAAAGATTGGGAAGAAGGGGGAATCTGGGGTTCAGAGGCAGTCCCCCACTTCAGCCACACAAGTGCCCAAGCAGAGTCAGGGGGTCCCTCCTCCTGTCCCTCTCCCTGCCTGTCTTCTCAGTCCTCCATCTGCTCCAGTGGGGCTCCGGTTGTCATCACTGTTGTTATTGTTGTGCTTAAATATTTATCTGCAGGGTAGAGGAGAAAACATAGCCCTTCCCCATTCTCACAGCTAATTTGGGCTAATTTCCCCTGGGAATTCTGTGCACACCTCCCAGCCTTCCCCCTAAAGCCAGCAGCCTTCCCCTTCTACTTCAGGGGCCACCAGGAAAATGGCTGATAGCTGAGTCAGGGCTGGGCTAAGAGGCGACCCCAAGACCCCTTCTCCAAGGGTTTGTCAAGTGAACGCCAGCTAGCTATTTGGCTACTCTGTGCCTCAGTTTCCCATGCACTGGAGGAGGAGCTGGAATCTGGATGGAAAACATCCCCCTAGAAATGGGGTGCTTTCATCAAGGCCCAGCAGGGGTCTGGAAGCCTCCCCTCCCCAACTCACCGGGTTCACCTACTGAAGCCCCTAAGGGAGGTAATGGAAGGATGCAGACCCAATTACAGCCCAGCTTCTGAGCTTCTCTGGCCTTGGGAGCCTCACAGTGAGCGCTGGGGGATAGGACTGAACCCAGGGTCTGGCACAGCTAGGCAAGCTCTCCACCCCTGAGCTATGAGACCAGACCTCAGATCTCCCACTGGCAGTCAAGCCTCTAGCAAGGACTCCACCTAGCGCCACGCTACCAGAGAACTGGTAGCCCAGAGGCATCCCACAACCCTCTCATCAAGACGTGTAGGTCTAGAAATGGACACATAGAGAACCTGGAAGATCCACCTTCTCCAAGACCCAGGGACCCAGGGCTAGAGTCACGGCCGGCATCCTGTTCAGAGGCTATCTCTGTTCAGAGCTGCCACCCCTCACCCCTCACGAGAATGGCTTTATGCTCACTTTCGAGGTGATTGTGGGAATGGCTACATGGGCACTAGGCAGTTCACAAGCAGATGGACAGAGATTGGTGTCAACATGGGGGTCCCAGAACCCTGCCCTGCCCTGCCCTGCCTTGCCAGGTAGACACATCTCCCATGGGTCTCTCTTGGGTTTAGATATGTAAGTGGGGTCAGTGGGGCGAGCTCTAGTCTGGGCACCATGCTGGCCCCTTGGGTAATGACCTGCGTGCCAACAGGGCATGGACATGCCAAGCAACTGCCAAGGGGTTACTGAGCAGTTCAGACAACCACAGGGCAGTGGAGGAGCACGGCACACTGCGCTGCAGTGGGGTGGAACGTTCAGCCCGTCCCACAGAGGGAGCAGCTGTAGACTGAGAGCCACACAGAGCCCAGGAATCCAGAGTGTCTCCGGTCACTCCACTGCTGTGGCGGGCAGTCCCTCAGGCCTGCTGAGTTCACAGCCATTCCCATGAGTGTCACATGGAGGGGGCTCGGCACCCTGAAAGAGTATGAGCCACACCAGGGCCAACTGATGCAGGCACAGCTTCTGACAGTGGCCCTGAACAGGCCTGAAGCCCTTTCCCAGGGCTCACTGCAGTTCCTGGAGGCTCAGCACACCGCCCACATGTGGGAATGATCAGGGCATGAGGGAAGCAGGCCCAACACAAGCAGGGCTAGAATCGGGAGCCCCAAAGGCAACTTCTCCAGCTGCCAGACCTGCCCCATGGGCTCCTTCCTCTCTGGCCATATCAGATCCTCGGGCAGATTGCAGTTCCTGTAAGGGGATTGGTGGACGCACCCCCTTCAGCGTCCACACCATCTTTTGATGCTGTAACAGGAACATGGGGGAAGTAAAAATACCCTGAAAGGAGGCAGAGACATCCCTGGGGACATCTGTCTCCACCTGCAGGGGAAGGGGGATCTTTGAAGTCCATTCTCCAGGCCTTGGACTCTGCACGCACGCGCACGCGCGCACACATACACACACACACACACACACATTTCAAAATAGCCAGGGAAGCTCAAACGGAGCAACAAGGGGCACCTCCCTGCAGAAGGAGCCACTAGGATGGCTGCAAGTCCAGCATCTCCTCCTCTTCCCCTTCTCCCTTCCCACCATCCCTGGCTTAGTCCTCCCTACTCCCTCCCACTGGTTTCAGGGTGGATGGTGGCAGTACTAGAGGAGGAGCAGAGCAGAGAGTCCTCCCCCGTAGAGCACTGGCTCACGGGCCAACGGTTAGGCAGAGAGTCCTCCCCCGTAGAGCACTGGCTCACGGGCCAACGGTCATGCAGAGAGTCCTCCCCCCGTAGAGCACTGGCTCACGGGCCAACGGTCATGCAGAGAGTCCTTCCCCATAGAGCACTGGCTCACGGGCCAACAGTCAGGCAGAGAGTCCTCCCCATAGAGCACTGGCTCACGGGCCAACGGTCAGGCAGAGAGTCCTCCCCATAGAGCACTGGCTCACGGGCCAACGGTCAGGCAGAGAGTCCTCCCCATAGAGCACTGGCTCACGGGCCAACAGTCAGGCAGAGAGTCCTCCCCATAGAGCACTGGCTCACAGGCCAACGGTTAGGCAGAGAGTCCTTCCCCATAGAGCACTGGCTCACGGGCCAACAGTCAGGCAGAGAGTCCTCCCCATAGAGCACTGGCTCACGGGCCAACGGTTAGGCAGAGAGTCCTCCCCATAGAGCACTGGCTCACGGGCCAATGGTCAGGCAGAGAGTCCTCCCCATAGAGCACTGGCTCACGGGCCAACGGTCAGGCAGAGAGTCCTCCCCATAGAGCACTGGCTCACGGGCCAACGGTCAGGCAGAGAGTCCTCCCCATAGAGCACTGCTCACGGGCCAATGGTCAGGCATTTTCCAGAGCAGTCTCTTCAGGGAATGGGGGTGTAGAGGTAACTTGGGGAGGGCTGCACAACAAGAGGGGCGAGGACCAACTGTCTCATCAGCAGCTCAGAGTCCCCTAAAGCAGGTCCATCATGCTGTTCTGATCTCAGTCCTTCCGGCCCAGGCACGGCCCAGTCCAGGAGGAACTGGGGCACAGAGTAACAACCAGGCCAGGAGAACCAGGATTCACCAAAACTCCAGGAGAACCAGGATTCACCAAAACTCCAGGCGTCCTTCACTGAGCTGCCGTTCACTCTTCTAAACCAACCAAACAGAACAAAACCCAAACACCAGACTCGAGGGCAGGAAATGGGGGTAACCGTGTACCTTGTCACAGACAAGCTGAGAATCATTATACTTGATCCTCTGAGGGCTGTGCCCTGGGAAAGATATGGGCACTCAGAGGACCAAGCCATCCCTGGGGTGCCATAGGGAAAACTAGAGGTTTTCCATACCGTCAGCCCTCCTGAGCCTAGCTCCATCACCTCGTGACCTGCCCCACCTTGGATACCTCTGGCTTCCATCCAGCCAGGTGCTCAGAAAGCTAGAGACTGTGAATGGCTGAGCGGGGACCAAACAGACAAAATGAAGGGGAACCAGAGGCCTCTCCCCTCTTGCTGCCTGAGCCTCTCTCCACCACCCAGTAAAAGATCAGCTTGTGAGTCAGTACCCTCCCTAAGGGACATGACCTGTGCCCAGAAACAAGAAGCAGGCCACTCAAAATCTCCCCTGGCCAGCAGTGAGAAAGTCCACAATAACCCTGCCTGTCTGAGAACAGCTTCGCAACCCACCTGGCACACAGCCTCCCACAAGGAGTCTGTGCCTCCATGGCCTCTGCTTCCTGGCATACCAGCCCTATATTCTCAGCATGGTATAAAGAACGGATGCTGTAAAGGGACAAACCCCAGGGGCCTGCACTGCTCCCCAGGGCCCGGCTCTGTATTCACAAGACCCTGTAATACAATAACACCGCTAGTTCTAAAGGTGGATCTTGCGGTGAGTTTTCAGGCTGTAAACAGGACTGACTGGCAAGGCCAAGGCATCGAGGCAACTGGAACTTTCCACCCACCCAGCTGACCGAGATTTATTCTAAAGAGAAACTCTGGGTGCCTCAGCATCCCCACAGCCACAGGCTGGCAACTGGGAGTGTCATGCTGGTGCCCAACTCTAGAAGCCCCCAACCCAAATAGCTGAAGCCCCCAGACTGGGAACCCACCAAGTTCTAAAACAGTCCACACCCGCAGGCACCCATCCATTCAGGTTCTGCAAGAGCACAGGTCTGATCCAGAGGTTGTCGGGAAGCCCGGCAGAAACGTGTGGAAGGAGGT